CACCAGTAAGAATCAGTTTAGCTGCGACTGTTTCCTTTACGTATCAAGAAGTCATACTGTCCCATCTTGCACAAAACCTCTTCAAATGTCTGTATGTCATGTCAAATCCTGCTGCTCCTCTATCTACACCAAGGCTCCAACAAGCCTCACCTCTTGTCTGCTTTGATGGAAAGCATCTTGACCTCCTTCATGAGATGTTTAGACAGTGTCTGCTCCAGTGTGGACAGCACAGGTTGGTCCTTGGATACCATGAGTTGCGCTGGGCGAGGATTGGTTGATAAGTAGTTAACCCAGGATGCCAGGAAGTCCCTGTTGACACCCTGCAATACACGAGGACATATCTCAGTTTAGCTACTGAAGAGGGAATCGAACGTCTGACCTCCTAGTCACAAAGACGGCACTCTTACTCTCCAAACCAATGAGCCTCCTCACAAAGCAAAATTCATGTCATGTCACTGATGTTGCATGACATGAGATATTATGATTTTTATGTTTTAAAAACCGCAAAATAAAACACACAGGTCTCCTTATTTGATTTTAAGAGAAACAGCAGGCATGTTTAGCCGGGCAAAATCAAAACGTGAACTTTAGCAAATATAGTCTAGGCATACAATAGTCATTTCTGTCATGAGGACAGTTCTAATGTCAACTCACCATGCCATCTACAAATATTTCAGGTTGTTTATCAAGGCTGTTTTTACTGATTCCATAGATGTGTCTACCCAATGCTTCAGCGATGATCTTAACATTGCGAGCTAAGACATCAACATCAACCCTTGACCTGTAAATAATCATACAACACATAACCAATTACTCACAAGTGTAAAAATTTGATAAAAGTTGAGAGCATTTCAATCAGCGCCAATGACACAGACAAATGATAAAAGATGTCTGATCCAGGTGAACACCATACTTGGCTGGAAAGTGTTACTGGAAATTTTTTCCCACAAAATCTAGGTATTATCTTAATTCTCAATCTAGTGTATTTTGGGCAACTGAATGGTAGCTTGGGAAAACCTCATGTGAGACCACAAAACACATCAGCCTTGGTCAACTGTAGTGTCTGGATCCAAATGCTATGACTATCAATATCACCTGATATAATAACATGACCCACCACACTGCTTCACCTGACCCCTTGAAACAACTTGTGGTATACGATGCAAAGGTTTGTACCTTCAAAATGATTTTTGAGGTAATTTGATGAATATAAACTTCCACTGTGGTCATGGCATGATGTGAACTGTGGGTTTGGGGTTGAAAGGAAATAAGTTTGAAATGTTACACTTGTGAAGGGTGTTTCTAAACTGCTTTTTGTTGAATTCTAAATGTTAGTCCATGTACCTGTCATCCAATATGGATGTTCTATACTCGTCCCTGTGAATTTTAAGATGTGACAGGGAAGCAGCTGGTAATCTGCGCATGCTGAATCGCTCATGTTCCCAGGCCAGTAGATCGTCCGCTAGGTTAATCTTCTTATGTATCATACTGAAGTTGACGCTTGGATAGAGGCTGTTGGACACCGTCTCCAGTTCCTGGTATCCACACATGACAAATTAAAAGAACAGCTGGGGCTGGTTTCATGAAGCAGCAAAATTCTGCTCAACAAGTTTAAGTGCTATGCAAAAGCCAGTGGGGAACCAGTTGCAAGTACATTACGTTGCATGACTTTTGGCTGGTAACCTATTTTTGCAGAGTAAATATCTTTGTGCTTGCAACTCTATTGCTAACTGGAAATCTTGTAGTTCACCCTCCTTTGGTTTTACAGCGCAAATATGCACGGGTGCCCACAGTCACTGTCTTGCATGA